TATATATATATATATATATATATATATATATATATATACAAATATATATATATATATATATATATATATATATATATATATATATATATATATATATATATATATATATTGCAATGATTGGTCATATACATTAATTTTTATGACTCCTCAATGTAAGAGCAGAAGAATTTTATAAAAGCAGTAGTCTAAACTTAAAAAAAATTTTTATAAGCTTTGTTTAACTGTTTAAGTTTCATACAGAAATTAGTTTTCATGTTTAGCAAAACTAAAAAAATTTAAAATTATAAATAAACATTCTAAAAAATGTATAATTCTGGTAATCCTATTTCAAATTTCAATAAAAATATCAACTGGAAGATTGAATTAAACTAAAATCACTAAAAACATCCAGCATCATAAGTTATTTCATCTCATTTTATTTATCTTGATCAATTTAACCTTTTCATTTTGCTAATGTTGGTTTAATTTATCACTTGATTTTTTTGCTATATTTTGAAATTTTTATCTTTTTGATTGCAAAACGTTATTAAATTTTAATTATTTAATTATTAAATTTTTCAATTAAAGAAATTTTATTATTTTAAGTTTTTTCAAGGCTTACTTTCTTACATGTTTTTATCAGATAAATGAATAAATATTAGCTTGATTATGTAATTACAACAGGCTTGGTTTTTCTATTCGCACAGTTTCAATAATATTGTCTGCTTAAAATTTGCACCAGGTATTAATAGTTCCACAACACATTGAATGTCTTAGTTCTGAAAATGATGCCTCAAGTTTAAAAAACCACAGCTTTTATAATGTCCTTTTCCAATTTCATGCATTCCAATTACTATATATAGACTTATTTCAAAAATCATTAGAATTTTTATTTGAAATATTTTTACTGGTATAGAACTTCATATTTCATAAACACTCCACTTAAATAGCAACAAAGAACTTAATTTTTTTTTTATATATACTGTCTATGTTCATGTAAATAAACTTTATGTCACAGTCAAGGCATGCTCAAACAAAGGCAAGAGGTTGTATAATAATATCAACATCAATTAAAAGATTATTGTGAGGTTGAGGAATAGTTTCATCATCGACAATGAGATAGTTGGTTGAGATTGTAAATTTAGGCACAAAAAAAAAAAAAAATGTGATTCTTCATTCATATTTCAAAAAAAACTTGCAATCTTGATTTTTGTTATCCTTTTTTTAAAAAAGCTCGAGAAGTGCAATTTGAATTATATTCAAGTTAAAAAGGTAATACATTAACTGACAATAATTATATCAAATTTTTTATGAACTTAATTCTCCAAGTTATACATTATAAATATATTTTATTAAACATAAAACTTCATAACTTAGTCTTTTAATAAACATAAATTTATTGAACTTAATATTGGGTATTTTCCAATCATCCTTTTCCAATCAAACTGAAAGTTTGAGTAGCACTAATTTACAGCTTATTTATTTGTAAGCACAAATAAATAAGCTAACAAACATTATTCTTTATTAACAAACATTATTCCTTATTAATAGAATAAAATAAGAATTTTTATAGAACTTGCACAGAATTTCTGCCATCTTTTATACAAAAAATTGACAAAATATAGGTTATTTAGTAAATAACATTTTAGCAGAGTATGTAATTACTACTGCAAAATGACATTACAGACGAATTAGTAAACAACATTTTAACAGAATATGTTATTACTGCAAAAGGAACTAGTTATAAATTAAAAAAAAACTTCTTATTAAACTTTAGCAGTTTAATCAAATTACTTTAATCTATAGCCTATAGTTCCTTAGGCAGTAATATATTTCTGCAAAAGGAACTATAGCCTATAGATTAAAATACTTTAATTATACTGCTAAAGTTTAATAAGAAGTATTTCTTTAAATGACACGTTTTAACAGAGTATGTAGTTATTAATAACTATATACTCTGTTAAAATGTTGTTCTAATTAGTCTATAATATCATATTGTATGTATGTTACATACTCTATTAGGTATTTGACATGAAATTTTTAAACAAATCAAACATTAGATTGTTATATGTCATTGGAAAGACCTTGAAATCAGTATTTTAATGTTGAAAAAATTATCAACATTGAACAGTTCGACAAAAATGTTATAGCGTTTTAAATACTAAATTTTTGATACATGGATTTGTTGAAGAAACCATGACCAAATTTTAAGTTTTTCTGAACTTAATATGTCATAACTTTGTCAATTCTTATCAAAATTCAGACATCTTGGTATCAAAAGAAATGTCTTATAAAGGAGAATCAGGATACATAAAAAATATATGCGTATATAACACCCTTAAAACGGCGTCTAGAACACTTTTCAAATCAAGGTCCTTTTAAAGAAAATGTTAATTTTTTTTCAAAAATTTTAATTTTTTATTGTATTTTTTTAACATAATTTACCAGCCCAATAATAAATGTGATTCAGATACTTTGGGTTAGGTAGTTGGAAGCCAACTTGGCTTCGGGTGGTAGTAAATGCCCTTTTCTACCCATAACCACTGCCAAATCAATGTATTTTTATATATAAATGTATAACATTTAGTGTAAAGAAAGAAATGTTTTTGAGATAACAAATACATACAAAGTGTGTAAAAAGGGTGCAACAAGGAATATTTTGCACCATCAGTCTTCCCTCACCCTGCCTTTACTCTAGATAAACAGGTTGTGGGGGAGGGGGGGGGAAGGGCAAGAAAAGAAGGGGTTTAAAATATGAAATTAAAAACAATCTTTTTTATTTTGTTCGTTATAAACTGAATTAAAATCACCTATAAGTGTATTTACATACACATAATAATAAGTGTAAATATAGTGGTTAACAACAATGTTTGTTCTTCTGCCTCTTCTGCCACCAGAAGGCTGAAATTTAAAATGTGGCAAGTCTTCACCTCTATTCTGGGCCCATATAAGTAAGGCCTGATTCTATTTAGGCCCAGGGTGGCTTTGGCGTGTGGTTCCAATATAAAAAACATTTTAAAAGTTTATTATTTTGATTAGATGTAGAATATAATTCTCTTTATGTAGAATTTAGTTATGAATGAAATAGAAACATGAAATAAAAGTTATGTAGAATTTAATTCTCTTTCTCATAATATAATTTTTTTTTTTTTCAAACTAAAACTCAATATTAAATAACTTGTTTAACAAACATTGTCAAACGAGGTAGTTAACCTTTGCAACTAAGTAAATTGTAAATAATATATTCCAAAACATTCTCAAACTTAAATCCAAAAACAATAACTACAATTTTTTGTGTTAAAATTTTAGAAACCTTATGTTATGTATTCTAAGATATTTTATGAATTTTTTGCTTATAATTAACTTTCATTACTCATATACAGTAAACATAGTTTGATTGTTTAAGTATGCTAAATAAATTGTTTTAATATTTTTAATTTCTCTGTATATAAATAAAATGCTAATTTGTTTGTACTATTATAGTATCTTAAAAGTGTTTAACATTTTTGAACAATAGTACAATACAAACAAGCAAAACCACAAACTTAGAAAAATGTGTAATTGTAGAGGCAACCAACACTCATGCAAAAATACGTACAAAAAAGTTGAAGAACCAAATGATTACAATTTTACTAAAACACTTTAAACACCAAATTGCTGAAAGTTTGTGTTTATTTTAAGCTGACATTCTAACAAAATCAAAAATTTCTTAATTCAAACTTTTATTTTCACTTATAAAATTCGAATTAGAGAAGTTGGACTTATTATAGTACACAATTCTAAAAAAAAGTTGTAATGTGCTAGTCCAGCTTTTTATTTTAGTTAAATTGAGCATATTTTCAAGGTGTATTTGAAAATTGATTTCTTAAAAATCCTGATAACTTAAAACGTTCAGAATCATGCCAGTTCACAACCAAAATGTGTTCACTGTGTCCGAGTAATGTAAGTTAGCAAATTGACATAAATATTAAAAGAAAAGAATCTTATGTGTTATAATACTTAACAGAAAATGTTAAAAATGTAAAACAAAAACAATTAAGTCGATTTTTGAATGCTTTAGAGTCCTTTATATACAGTTTACTTATTCGCACATTGTTATTATACACCTTTGAAAAAAGTTATCTAATAGTTTTATTTTAAGTAAAAATAAATTACTTATATCGTGAGATAGAGAATTAAACTTTACATAAATTTATTTAAAAATAACCTTTAAAAATCTATCCACTACAAGGTATGTTATCTAAATAATTGTAATTAAATACGTTACGCTAATAAGGTAGATGATAGAATCAAAAACCTATCCGACGCACAGTGACTCAAATTGAAGAAAAAACGGCAAAAATTATATAACCATCGCATGTTAATATGTATTAAAGAAATAGTTATTATTTTTTTAGTCAAAAGATCAATTAAGTATTTTTAAATTATTTTTACGCGCAACAACCAGCAAAACGTGCGCGTATCTAAAAAATACGTACGTAAGAAATTTGATACGCGCAAGCAGATTTTTTTTTTAATTTAACTTCGAATCAAGTAATAGTTTGCATAAATACATCATTTATTTTTAAATCTTTTTTTAACTCTCTCTAACTTGTAATCAGGCGTGATCACTCGGTACACTACCATCCAAATTTGTCATAATTATTACCGGGCCCCTCCCCTTTTGTTAAAAACAATGATTGAAAGAACTTTAAAAAAAATAAATAAAAAAATTCATTCCTTAACAAAAAGAATACAATAAAATTCATTGAGCATTACTATTATAACTATTTCAAATTTTAGTTCATAAAATAATTTATTTTTAATTATTTCAAATTTATTTCATCAATTATTACCCTCCTCTTTTGATAAAAACAATGATTGAAAGAATGATAATTAAAAAAAAATTCAGACATCAACAAAGAGCATATAATAGTTATACTCTGAGAATTAGAATATACTTTGAAAATTACTATTATAACTATTCTAAATTTAAATTTTTGATGCAAATTTATCTATAAAAAATAAAATTCTCAAAAAAATCACAACTGTTTAAGAAGAGAAAGAACTTCTATTGGGAGCAATTTCCCATTTTCACATCTATGGTTAGTGAATTGAATGCTCGATATAACTGGATCACTCCTTATCATAAGATAGTTAAATTGGTTTTTCATAACATTTATCCTTGAAATTTTGCATGAATGGTTTAATCTTGTATTTCTAATCTCTTTGTTAAGAGCCTCTAGTGATTCTTCTGAATAAACTCCAATGGGAAGTTCTAATGCATTGGCAATCTGTAAACCATGTTCTAAAAGTTTGTGAACGCTTGGAGGAATAACATACCAATTATATTCAGAAAGAATTTTATCTGTTGTATCATTGCAATAACTTTGAAAAGAGCTTGGATCTAAATCATATCCTGAACAAACTGCTTTTAAAATTGTTTTAAGTCTAGAAATGATGTCAACATCTACACCAGTTATCTCAGAGAAGGTAATCGATTCCTCAAAGGCTCTTCTGGCAGTATTACCATCATTAGTGTGTTTTCAAAACCTTGTTTTGGCATGTCAACAATAAGACTTAGTTCTTCCCTAAACTTCTTTTGAATAAATGCTTTTCTTTCTTTAACTGATTCTTTCTGCTCAGATGTTTTAGCATAAAATGACCTAATTTTCAATTTATATCCAAGGTGAAGAATGTACTCAAAGCATCTTATCCAACAGTGAAGAGGTGAAAGGCCAAAAAATAAAGCTTCTTTATTGACAGGTTTAGATCTAATCAATTTAATGTCATTCATCTCTGTTGGCTTTGCTGAACATACATTACAGCTTTGAGAAGAGGTAGTACTTGTCAGTGCATTAATAACCTTACCATCAAACATAGTCAAATCCAAATTATACTTTATAATTGCTGTCATCATAGATGACTCAGTCGGTTTTGATTCTAAACTTACTACAAATGGTTCAAGTTTCTGAATTTCAATCCGTAATCGTTCTTCTTCTTCTTTAATTAGCACATTTGTTTCCTTCTTGTACTGCAAACATACTGGTCTGCAGAAATGTGTACTAGATGGTTTTTTGTTGTACCAGATTACTGTATCATTAACAGTCAGTTTAAGAGGCACAATAGATGTTTGGAAAATACTCTCTTCATTTTTAATAACTTCATCTAGAGTTGTATCTAAATATTTTTGTTTATACAGACTCTGGCTAGACGCTCCATCAAAACCACCTTTGAAATGCATAATTCCATGTTGATTGATATCTTTAACCGATAATTCAGAAAATATTTTGTTGCAACTATTTAGACTCAAGACTCTACACAGTGTGTGATTAAAAAGAGATTGAAGGGAGCAAACTGCAGATGTTTCTGAAAAAATCATATTATCAGGATAGCATTTATTTTTTTCAGTTAAAATTTTATGAAGAGACGGATAGATGTTTGCATTTTGTAATAGGGAGCTATTTCTGATTATCTGATATTGTTCATCGGACAGATCACATTGAATTTTTAGGCTGAGAGCATCTTCAACTTTCATTTTAACAGGTTCATGCATAGACATGTTTTTTCTAATTTCATTTGCTTTATCTGGGTCCAAAGCCTTCTTTACTATAAAGATAAAATTGTTTTTATTAATGTTGGATTCAGTTGCAGCACTTTTTAAAGAAGCTAAAGCCAATGCTTCATGATTGTTTTCAGCCAAATGGGCAATTTTAGCTCTTTTGCTTCTTTCACCAAGATTTTCCCAAACTTTATTTTTTCTACCTGGACCTTCTTTAGATTTAATTCTTTTAACAAGATCTGGAAAAAACTCCTCCTGTAAATAGAAACTTAATTAAATAAAATGAGTGCATAAAAAAAATTTATTAAGAAATATTATTGTTTCTTTACCTGTAGCCAAACACCCTCTTTTAAAATCAATCTGTCATAGTTTCTATTATGCTTTTCTAACTTATTTCCCACTTTTGCTTTAAAAACAGACAACTTATTCTTTAAGTTGGTAAGCTCTGATTTATTGAAGTCATCTTCATGAAGATTATAAACATTTAAAACTTCTTTAAATAAAGATTCCAGCAAATTAACTTTATTGAAACCTAGTCCTTTAATTTTTTGAAGAAGATCAATTCTTTTCATTTTTTATATATTATCTATTACATAACACACAAAAAGTTATCAATAGTTTAACAATCTTATTGTCATTTACATTATAACTTAATAGCTACAAGTATTTTGAAAATCCCTATGTATATATAAATTAGTAAAAAATTACTAATCAAATTTTTTTATATTTTACACTGTGTTTCATCAATAAAGACTCATCAAAATGAAAAAAATTTAATAAGTGATTTTCTACTAATTTATTATAGCTATGCTTTTTTAAGAACATTGAGCACTCTATTTTGTAGAATACAATTTAAAATATCTGTACATATATATATATATATATATATATATATATATATATATATATATATATATATATATATATATATATATATATATATATATATATATATATATACAAACTAAAAATATTAGGTAACCCTGATACTCTTTTTTTAAAAGAGCTTATATTTAAAATAATTAAATAAAATTTACTTTCTTCAATTTGCTCCAACCTTTTATCATATACTCGCTGATTATAATATTTAGCAAGTAAATCATAAAAGCTCTATTTTAGATTGGAGCAAATTGTTTTTCATCAATAAAGACTCATCAAAATGAAAAAAATTTAATAAGTGATTTTCTACTAATTTATTATAGCTATGCTTTTTTAAGAACATTGAGCACTCTATTTTGTAGAATACAATTTAAAATATCTGTACATATATATATATATATATATATATATATATATATATATATATATATATATATATATATATATACAAACTAAAAATATTAGGTAACGCTGATACTCTTTTTTTTAAAAGAGTTTATATTTAAAATAATTAAATAAAATTTACTTTCTTCAATTTGCTCCAACCTTTTATCATATACTCGCTGATTATAATATTTAGCAAGTAAATCATAAAAGCTTTATTTTAGATTGGAGCAAATTGGAGCAGGTAAATTTTATTCCATTAAATAGTATATTGCTGACAGTACTCAAAAACACTAACATAAGCGTGGAGTTATGTGGAACATTTTTGTTCTTGTACCATAAATAATGTGTTACTAATAAAAAAAAAATTTTTTACTAATATTTTTCTTCATGCTGAGTAATGGCTTAAACCTAATAAACTTAAAAAAAAATCTTTCATTTACATTGTGAATTGACACAATTTAAGTAAATTAATAAAAAACACTAACACTTTAACTACTATGTCTCCATAAAATAAATATCTAAAACTGACTATTTTATCGAACATTTCCGTTTTTTTTCCGTCATAAAAAAAGCATTAGTAAAGTGCTTCAAATTAATACACAACCTTGCAATATCTTCAAAAAAAGTTTTAAATTGTTATGCATCTGGTCTTACCATAACTAAAAGTTATTTGTGTTTACAAACTAAAGACTTTAATTTTTTTCCTTTTTTGCCACTTTTTAAGGATCTTGAACCACTGTGCGTTGGAATAGGTTTTTGATTCTAATACCTGCTAATAAACGCTCGTTTGGTTTACTTTTTTTGCTATACAGTGACGGCCACGAATTTTAATGTGACGTGATAGAATACTATCTATTAGCAAATATGATCATAGTGCTTATACTCCTCTACCTTAAGGCGGCAGTTAACCGAAATTTTTGAAAAATTTGTATTTTTTTTTTAATATATATTTTTAAAGAGAAAGTTCTGTACTTTCCAAAAATATATACTTTTGTATATTTTTTTATATATTTTTTCCATTAATTTAGCAATTTTTTTGACCTATGTCAATTTATTCATCTTAGCAACGCCCTTAGCAACCGTAATGTTAATATTGTAAATTAGGATTAATGTCCCAAATAAAAATTACCTTAACTATTATTCAATGGAATTCTGGAGCAGCAGGATTGAGTAGTATTCTTACTTCAATGGGGGTTAATCAAGTTGGAGCTAATACAAATGCAGGTTTTAGAAAAAAAAACCTTCGCTTGAAAATATCTATTTTAAAATCCAGAAATAGTTCACTTAATCATCGCCAGCAGTTACGACAAAATCGAAAAAGAAAGTTTGATACAAAGCCTTCATATTCCTCAGGTGGATTTAGAATTCAGCCAGAGTCAGATAGTATCATTAATAAAAAAATAAATGTTGGAAATACAGGAATTTCAATTACATTTGTAGATGATTCCAGTCTGAATCAAAGTTGTTGGATTAAAATTTTCAAAAACTGACTTGTTGGATTAACAAATGATTATCATTATTTAAATTTGATATAAATGTTTTGTACATTTTATTGTGTAACTTGCATGCAACCTGATAAAACCTTTTTTTAAAGTGTAAAATTAATATTTAAAGTTTGCAAATTGAATTTCTCTGTTTTTGATTTTCACCTTTAAGAAATGATATCTTGATTTATTCTCATCAGAAAATGTTGAAATATTTTCAGATTATTATTAGGGTTAAATATATTGATTTGAACGAAGCATTTTAGAAGTTGTCGACTCCTTATCCGTAACTATGAAAAACAGTTTTTTCTTTGTTCCTATAGCAACACTTGCTATGGAAAAAAAATCCCTCGTTCAAATCAATCTATTTTATGTGGTTGTCATTCTTGTTAAAAAATATTTCAAAGTTTAACGTTTTTTATTAAGATAACCTTTTTTAAAGTCATTTTATTGTTTTAATTTCCGTGGCAACAGTACCAAAAATAGTCTATAATTTTTTAAAATTTTTATGCAAACTATTCACTAAAGAGTTCTTTAAAATGCATGATTTATATTTTTAACTATTTTGTAAGGATAAAGTTGAACTTTAATTTTTCCAAAAAATGACCTTTTTTTAATTTTCGGTTAACTGCCACCTTAAAAAATTTGCAACAAGAGTATAAGCCCAATGTATACAGCATAGTAATGAAGTTTATACTCTGGTCGTTAAATATCTAAATTATTTTCTAGGCAGTTGCAATCGCCTGAAAATTGTTATTATTAACCTATTTAAGACTCAAACAACCAATATTGTTAACATAAACAAGATTTCAATATTGATTTTGAGTCATTTTGCCAAATATTATAAACGTTCTGAATGTCGCGTAAATATGGTGGTTGTAAAAATATTTGCCGCAAATGCTATTTTTCAAATACTCTAGCAAGTGGATTAAATTGCGATAAAATTTTTGTAATATTAATGACATCATTTCTTGCAAGCCTCTTTTCAGGTACTTTTCTGTTAACACTAAAGTTAGTCTGAATTAAAAAAGAGTAAATGTAGACCGCGAAAAACTATTCAATTTTTTTTGAATCATTTTAGAAAAAAGCTACATTTTTATGCAAGATTATGCGCATATGCTAACAGAAGGTATGCGCAAAAAAAACAGGTAATTTATTTTTTTAAAATATCTTTCATTGCGTTTTTAATATCTGGATATTGAAATTCAAACCCAGATTCAAGTGTTCGCTTTGGAATGACTTTATTCCCTTTTAAAATAATATCTGAGCGTTCTGTACCTGCTGCAAACTTCATTGCAAACTCAGGGACCGAGAACCATGTAGGTCTGTTTAGAACGGCGCCAAAAGTTCTAGTAAATGTTTCGTTTGTGCAAGGATTTGGTGCGACACCATTCAAAATCCCGGTAACAAATTCATTTTCAATAGCGTGTACAAACAAATTAACAATATCTTTTATGTGTACCCAATGAAAATACTGCTTTCCAGATCCTATAACACCTCCTAAGCCAAAATAAAAAGGCCAGTACGACTGCTGAATGATGCCACCATCAGGACCCAAAACAACACCAATTCTGATTCCTACATGACGAGTGCTTTCGGTATCTGGTAAAACAGCACTGTTTTCCCAATCCTTACAAAGACTTTCTATGTAAGTTTTAGGTGTTTTAAGTACATAATCTTCATCAAACTCTTTTTCATCTGTTACAGGATAATAACCAACTGCATGGGCGGAAACCCAAACTTTCGGTTTTTTAGTAGCTTACAAAATAAAACAAAACCATTAGAAAAATAAATTTAAAAAAAACATAATTATAAAAAAACCTTTTCTAAACAAATTCAGGAAATTCCTAAAAACATAAAGCAAAATTTTTAAAATGTAAATTAAACACAAGGTTACCACTTTTTTTAAAAAAAAATTTTACTTTGTACAATATTTCCGATATTACGGCTTTTTCTAAAAAATTAAAAAAAAAAAATTAAGATACAAATCTAAAACGATTTTATAAAAAAAAAAGTACATCGTGATTTTCTTAGAAAATAGTATTTCCAAGAAGAGTAATAAATTTTCTAGTAATTATTTATGTCAAAATTCAATAAAAACCTTGGGAACGCCTCAGTTGCAAAGCGGCAACAATGCGATCAGTATAAACCAATTATTGAGACTTCACAGAGTAAAAGGCAAGTGGTAACCCTGTAATATATTAATAAACAAACTTTAAAAATCACCTTGACAAATTAAGTTTACTAACAATTTATTCTTTCCAATTCGGCTTTCATATACATCTTGCTTGTACTTATCATTCCACCGCCGCATAAAGTTTAATATGTTCTCTCCTGACAGGTTTACAACAGCATCGCAATCTGGTAGACTTTGCTGTGAATCAAGTTGTTGCCAAGTAACAGCTTTTAATCTAGGTGTTCGAGAAATAACAACTACACTGTGTCCACGATCAATAAGAGCCTTGCTCAAATATCTGCCAATAAAACCCGTGCCGCCTCCGAGCAATACTTTCATTATCCCTCAAAATATTTATCAAAACTGAAACTTAAAAATCTATCATTAATGCAATTAATAAATACTCTTTGCAATTAATAAATACTCTCTCTCTCTCTCTCTGTATATATATATATATATACATACATATATATATATATATATATATATATATATATATATATATATATATATATATATATATATATATATATATATATATATATATATATATATAAATTAATCATTATACATATGTATATATGTGTGTATATATATATTTATTATATATATATATATATATATATATATATATATATATGTATATATATATATATACATATATAAATTTATCATTATATATATATACATATAATGATAAATTTATATATATATCTATATATATATATATATATATATATATCTATATATATATATATATATATATATATATATATATATATATATATATATATATATATATATATATATATATATATATATATATATATATATATATATATATATATATATATATATATATATATATATATATATATATATATATATATATATATATATATATATATATATATATATATATATATATATATATATATATATATATATATATATATATATAATATATATATATATATATATATATATATATATATATATATATATATATATATATATATATATATATATATATATATATATATATATAATAATATATATATATAATATATATATATATATATATATATATATATATATATATATATATAATATATATATATATATATAT